CCCCGCCTCTGTAACGTTCTCCAGGGCTGCAAACGTGCGCTGGGGGCGCGGCGCCAAGCGGAACGGGGGGCCCGCGTCGGTTACCGGCGGAGAGAAGGAAGCGCCATGTGCCTCATGTCACCCGCAGCGGGCTGCCCGCTCCCTGTTAGCACGATCTCTGCTTTAGAGCTACTCTCTTCACCAAGGCGCGGCCCGGTTAGCGGGATCTGCAGCAGCGGGACGGCGGTGGGGGAGGACGGTGAGGTCCGCTCACCCCACCGTGGGCGAAGGGAGAGCGGGGGCCAGTAAGGGGGGCGGGTGCTGATGTGTGGGAAGCCAGAATTATTTTCTCCCCGGGATCCACAGAAAAAGTTTCAATACGCCGACTTCAAGTGTTTCTTTCTCTCTCTCTGTTTTAAACTCTGCTTTTTAATTAAGGACATTTAGAAAATTGGCACGTTTTTAACTCCCGGGGAAATGGGCATTAGCAGATGGGCTAAGCGTTAACGCTTGGCAAACACCAAAACTGTTACGCACCAGAAAGCCCCCGTTGTAGCGTTTTAGTAGCTAAACAAGGTCGTGATGTCCTAGTTACACAATTATTTAAACAGTGCTTTGGCAATATACAGGCATTGTATTAAAGTAATACGTATTAATTATTAAGAAATAATCTTATTAGTTTCCTGAAACTTGGCAGTAATTTGGGAAATGGAGATTAGCGTTGAATCTGAAGGATCCAAATATCTTCCTAATAGAAAAATGACACAAACCCGTGAGGATGGCTTTTATCCTAGCTGTGCTCATGCTGGAATGATATAGCGTGGCATTGACAGGATTTTGTGGGTGGTTTCAAATATTTTGCTTTTTATTCTACAAAGCTGCTGATCTCTGGAAGCAAGGGAAATTGCCCATCAGCTGTATGACCCTAATAATTTCTGATGTACCAAAATCTAGTGCCAGCGTCCACTTACCCACTGGGTTTCCACAAGATACGTACTGTGTTATAGCTGTGCCTAAATCAGGTAATAACCATTACTGCAGACTCTTAGGAGCTGTTTTTGTGTAAACAGTGAAGAAAGAGGTCCTCTTTTTGCACCCAGGAGTCCCAAGCTGACTTTCTGCCTGAGATCCCGTTCTTCACTAAATCATTTCAACTATTTCAAGCTATTAAAGACTTTTGGAGACTAGCGTGTGACGGCACAACTAAGAGACGCAAAATCTGCCCTGGTTATCTGACAGCAGCTGATAGGACACTGCTGCGGTACGACATTACGGGAAGGCCACATACCTGGGAGTCTTACAAAAGCCCCACCAGCTGCTAGAGGATACGGAGGAAGAATTTTTCACACTTCATTTCTATTAGTCTGACTTACACTTGTGACCTGAAAACCAGATTTAGCATTTCTTTACCGACCACTATCTGAGCATCTGAAAGTATTTTATCCTAGATCTCTCTGCTGCATCACTGGAACAGCACACTAAACCTTAGTCAACAGATTTTCATGTCAGTGTACCTCTGACAGATTGTTACCGTTTGGCCTGTTTTAGGCATGGGAAAACGAAAGCAATTGAGCCTTAAAGCGAGATTTGTACCATTCCCATCCTATTGTGCATATGCTAATCAAAGAGAGAAATAATCTGGTGTATGACTTCCTAGAAAACTAAACAGGTTATAAAATTCATGTCTCAAAATTAGTACCTGAGGCAAAACTCGGTATTAGTTAAAAAAATGCTAAACTTTTCACATATTATGACAGCTTGCACGGAGGTCAAACACATTATCACCGTGACCAAGTTGCCATCTCCCTTGTGCTTCCGATGCAAAATATTTCACTTAACCCGTAGTTACATCTGACGCCAAGGTCATGCTAACAGATGGCCCACTTTTAAGAGAGGGAATATTAAGTGCAACGGAGACTCTACAAACCCCTGTAATGAAGTGTATTGAAGGAGTGCCGATTTGAAAGCCCTCTGCCGAACCACCTTAGCTCCCCTGGCCGAGGTTCTCAAGTGGCAGCTGTAAATGGGTTATCCCCGAATGATGCCTGTGAGAGTGAAGTGAGTTCCTACCTGTCGATTGACGTTGACAAATTGTAGTCTGGTCTCCCAGGTTCATTCCATAGGGTTAATGCTGCAAATACCAGCCTAACTCATGCAAGAAATTCTGTTCTGCTTCTGATCTCTTCCAAGTTCCTGCATTGCTGATGGTTTTGATTGCTGTCTTAACTCCCTGGACAGGGGGCTTCACTCCCACCCTACTATAGGAGCTTAGGAGGTACTAAAGAATAAAGAAACAGTCAGATCCTCGTGCAGTAACACAGCATGTATATGTAGTTTACTATTTTCATAATAACTAGGAGTTACGAAATAAATTAGGCAACAAGTAAAATGATAAATTAGAGTTGTAATATTAAAAAAGCCAACTATATATTCATATTTTATAATATATATGTATATATTCATATTTTATAATCATAGAATCATAGAATCATAGAATCATTAAGGTTGGAAGAGACCTCCAAGATCATCGAGTCCAACCGTCAACCCAACAC